CAACTGACTCTCAAAAAAAATTTTTTGCATGACACACTTTTACCTTTAATCTGTATTAGTAACATTTTCACCATCATTTTCTTAACTCTAGAAATCAACAACACAATAAATCAAGCCCTGATTTGTAGCATTTGCTAATTTTCAAGGTATAAATGTTAAAATGAAAATATAACAATCAGCTTTCCTGAACTGGTATGAGCCAGGCTCCGGAAAACCCCTGGTTCTCCCTCTTTTTAAACAAAAGCTTGATGACCACTTCTTAAAGATGTTATAGAAAAGATTCTTGCTCACGTTTGTCATGGATCAGATAGCATCTGAGGTGCTAGATCAACTGTGAGATTCTGTGATTCTGTTAAATCTCATTATGCTCCAAGCACTATATTTTAGTCTCAGGTGGTCTCAGCACTTAGCACAGTACCTGACACATATTAGGTGCTTAACAAATATTTGTTGACTGACTTACTGAGGTGCATTTGTATGAAAAGTCACACTACGGCCTAGAGAGTGTTAAGGATTATAGTATAAAGGTTCAGGTGAGGAAAGAAAGTGAGGATTCTTGATTTTTTATCCCCATATCACTAGAACCTAACCAAAGGAGTAAAAGTGTATAAAATAATGCATGCAGATTAAACAGAATATTAAATGTGCAGCTGGAATATCTACTAACATATTTCATTAGAATTCATTTTCAGATCTCAAAAGTTTTTAATCCATCCTAAGCACACACAAGCCTTCTATATTCTGAGCATGCTTCACTATTTTGTAGACTTGTCAGAGAAAGTAAAATTAGGCTGCCAGAATAAGGAGGTGAAATTGAAGTCTCCAGATGAAAACCATGATAGACATTCAGTGATATGAATCACTAAGATGGTATCACACTTGGTGAGATTCGCGTGTGTGCGTGCACAAGCGTGTGTGTGTGTGTGTGTGTGTGTGTGTGTGTGTGTGTGTGTAAGGAGCTCTACTAAGCAGTCAAATAGTCACCTCACTAGATCCATACCCACAGTGATAAAAGCCTCTTAGGCTACCCATAATAACCTCTAAGCCTTGATGGAACAAATTTGACAAACTAGGGCACAAAGAGGAAAGGACGGTGGTCTATGTCCCTGAGAAGTAACTAGCAATTTCATCCCATTTACTCTAAGTTTTAGTGTTTCAATTCAGTTTAGTGGTAGCTCCTTGTAGGCAGAGGCATATCTGGCTTTTTTTCTCAGAGTCCCCAGAGCCTATTAAATTGCCTTACATAGAATAAGTTAATTTACTCCATGTAAGGCACTATGATATAGTAATAGAGTAACAAATATATAGTAATAAATACTTATTGGGCCATCCTAACCATATGAATAATGTGATCACTCCACTTGAGTTTACTCATAATAGTAGCTCAAGCTGGCCAGGTCAGATGACCTAGATATGCCCATGTCCTATTTTGTATCTGGACAGAAGAGTAAGAACTAAGATTCAGCTAGGTGGCCCAGTGGATAGAGTGTTGGAATTGGAGTCAGGAAAATTTCAGTTCCAATCCTGACTCAGATATTTACTTGCTGTGTGACCTTGGGTAAGTCACTTAACCTCTGTCTTCCTCAGTTTTCTCAACTGTAAAATTGGGTTGATAATAACACCTACTCCATACAGTTGTTATAAAGATCAGACTAAATCAGGAGATAACATATGCAGAGTGCTTTACATACTTTAAAGTGCTATATAGACACTCATTATTATTGTTACAAAGGGCCACGGGTTCCAGGAGAAGCACTGTGATTTATCACTGGTAATTTCTCTTCCTATGAGAATTTTCTCAAAAAATTGAAAAGGATAAGAAACTAGTCTCATTTTCATTGTATCATAATGCACCTCTTTGAGTAAACATAGTTAGCATTAATCTGAAAGATGTAAGCATAAAGAAATATGATAGAGTAGATCATCCTAATGAAAGTAATTCTAACTAAGATCTAGCTTGTCTTTAAGCAATATAGTTCGGACAAAAGGTCAGAGATTTAGAACTTGAAGGAACTTCCAAGGTCATCTAGTCCAATAGCCTCATTTTACAGATGAGAAAACTGAGGTCTATAGAGATGGAGTGACTTGCCCAGGGTTACATAGTTACTACTTAGTGGGGCCAGAATTCTAACTTCACATACAAGGCTCTTTCAGGAAGATTAATAGCTCTGTGGTTATATTCATTCAAATGTTTATCCTATAAAAACAAGTTTGGCTTTTACAGTGTTAACAGACAAGACGTTCTAGAAAAAGTCACTCAAAGTTTTTTTTTTAACTTAAAGTCATCACCAATTTTTGAGAAAAGGTGCTACTTAAAGTTTTCCCCTGTTAATTCTACTCTATTTTTACCTGACCTTAGCTTATCCTGAGATTCTCCTAATTACATTTCAACTTCCCTTCACCTCTCTCACTGCCTCCTTATATTGAGCTTCATTTCAGCTAATGTGCTCATGTTATGCTTGCATCACTCATTCCATGTTGACCTCTCGATTCTTTTGAAAAGAAAAAAAATAGGAGAGATGTTATCTGCAATGGGGAAGGATCTAAAGAGGTCCGAACACCTGAGATGCTGCTCAGGAAGCCACGTGTCAGCCATGTAGCACAAACTGACACAGACAAGTTAGCCAGGACATCATGAGGATGCTCTAAGAAGACTCGGGCCATTGCTGAAGCTCTTACATAAAGTCCCTGGCACCAAGAACTATGTTCTCTTATCAGAAGGTAGGGACGAGGAGAGAAATCCAGGCCATTGGGAAGGACATCAGGAAAGGATAAATGACTCTGAAACAATACACAATGACAAAGCATTTTTTAGAAAATATATCCCTATGACTACTCACTGCTGATCTACATGTAGTCTAGATGAGGAATATACTAAGTAAAGAGACACTTGTTTTTGGTAATTTGGTCTTGCTTATACTTTAAAACAAGGGCTCAACACATAAAATGATTGCTGATTTTGTCAAGGAGCCTAGGCCTCCACCCAGCATGGTAAGGTTCTGTATGATTGATAAATATCACAGTATCCAGTGGCCAGCCTTCTGGGGATGGAGGCCCTCCACACTTAGTGAGTCCGGTCCTCAATGGCAGACACATAGTCCATTCCCAAGCCACATTCAAAGCTGTTCCAGCTTGGCAGCAACTGCCAGAGCTAAGATTATATTGGCAAAGCCTTTGGAAAAGCTTCATGATTCAACATGAAATTGCAGCTGCAAGATTGTTTAAAGTATTTCTAGGACCTCCTCAGGCAGCCCACTGAAGGATAAACTGTCAAGGCATAAGAATAACTTTGATTTTGGTTGAGATCTACCTGGGATTTCATATAGTCTTAGCAAGAGGACTAAGGCACTGGGGAGGTTGGATTACCATATAGTAACAAAGGGAGGGCACATGTCAGAGGAAGGGTTTGAGCTCAGGTCAGCCTGCCTTCAAGGCTGGCTATTTACTAGACCATGACACCTGTCAGATTGGACTTAGCAAGTTTTAATACAATAAATACTCAGAAAAACAAACAAACATGATTTTACACACCTAAAAAAAAAGCAACCAGCCACTACTCTGCAACATCATGTATTCTATGTGAATTCTCACACTTCTTTTGTTTAAAATAGAAGTCAGACATTTAACTGCTTGTAAGTTTTTCCTTCTCTCTTAATGAAGAGTGGAACCAGAGGAAGAACATTGGATGTGAAGTCAGAGGAGCTGAGTTCGAGTGGTGGCTTTGCCACTTCTTATCTATGTTAGCTTGGAAAATTCACATGAGCTCTCTGTCTGTTTCCTCTGCTGCAAAATGAAAGGATTGAATTAGATGGCCTTTTCCAGCCCTAAATCTATGCCCCTGAAAGTTCCTTTCAGGAAGGATTTCTACAAAATAACACATCACATCCTTTTTATTTAAATTTATGTTGAATACGGTTTACAAGCATGGTTGAATTAGTTCTTAAATTTTCTCATTAATTTATGTATAGAGAGGAAAATAATAACTAGCAACTGTCTGGAGAAAAAGAAGGAGAGCTCAAAGATATGGCAGGAGTGGTGGTGGTAAATAGAGCACCCCAGTAGTAGTCAGGAAGACCTGAGTTTCATCCTTCAGACACTAGCTATGTGGGTCTAGTCAAGTCACTTAAATTCCCTTTCCTCATCTATGAAAAAGAAATAAAATCACCTCCCTGAGAGGGTTGGTGGAAGGGTAAAATGCATCATATATGCAAAGTGTTTGCAAATCTTACAGCGCTATTATAAAGTTGCAGTGTTACTCGAGTTAATACTTTAGTTGAATTGATGCTATGGGAGAGGCTGAGGCTGGTGGGTCTCTGTAGGTAGGAAGTTCTGAGCCACAAGAGAGTAAGCAGACTGGACATCTGCACTAAGTCCAGCATCATTATTGTGTATAATGGGGAATAGGGGCCAGAAGGTGGCCTTTTAGGAGGAATGAACAGAGTCAGGTCAAAAACAGAACAGGTTAGTGTTCTTATGTTGGTCAGTAATCAGTTCAGGCCTTAAGTAGTCCCTGGAGTTTTACCCTGAGTAAGATAGAGAGATCCAATCTTAAAAAGAAAACAAAACAAAAAACTACCCCTAATTTAGCATTGTTTCCTTCAGTCACTGTGGTATGCTAGAAAATAAAGGTCTGGTAGACAAATCTTGCTCCCAAATTTTGAATCACAGACTGATGATAGAAGTTATCAATCAGCTCCTTTGCTAATTGCTATTTCAGACTCAAATCAGTTGCCACCCACCTCAGTCAGATCCTTCTATCTACAGTAATTAGCCTTACCAAAGGGACTGTAAAAGCAGAGTGGAATTAAAAACATACATTGCCTAATTAAGACCCAGATCAGCCTTCCAAGAAATGTTGTGATTTCTCATTGAATGAGATCTTGATTCATCTGGGAACAACAAAAATTCCCAGAATTCAGCTGGGTCTCATATTGATCCAGGCTGCCCACTAACAGTGCACAGTAAACAAACAAACAAAAAACTATTCTGGCAGTCTTTACCTTAACTGGCTTATTGGCATCAGTGTTGTCTCTGAATTTCTCTTGTACAGTTTCTGCAAGTTGACAGAGCAAGGCACCATTATCCAGTTTCTCCATAAATGTTTCTGCCGTTATCTCATTACCTGTAAGAAACAAAAAGAAAGGAAGGGAAATAAGGGCAGGAGAGTAGGTTTCAAGCTGGAAAGGATGTTTGAGATCATCTATTCTGCCCAATTCATTTTACAGAAGAGAAACAGAGGTCTACAGAGTTGTCATGGCTTGCTTGTCCGAGGTCTTCTAGGTGATAAACAGCAGTACCAGAATTTGAACCTCTGACTCTGAATCCAGCACTCTTCTGAGCACTGATTCTGCTGCTCCTAAACAACAGAGCTATGCAAACATGACTATCAGAATCATGAGAAACGCCACACTTCATGCGAGAGCAAAATTACTCCTTCATGCCAAAAAAAAATTATTAGATTTATGTTCTTGTTGGACAGCATGAATAGCCCCTTAAATGAAAGTCTATTCTTTCCCCAGTGTAGTTCTAATGCATAGCATGTTTGTTTTACACAAGCTTTTGTTATTGGCATCCTTCAAAGTGTGGAAAGATAATCAGAGTCATTATTTGATCATAGTCAAAGGTGATGAAAACCAGTAAGTTAAGTTATTAAGAACCGTTTTACCAGTGATGGTATAATTCAGTCGCATTGACTATTCACTCTAGTCCAAACAAACATGGTGGTCTGCACTTCTAGTCTCTGCTCCTGGAGCCAGGATGGAAAGCTGGTAGATTGTTTGAGCTCAAGAGCTCTGATCTGCCATGGGCTAAGCCCATGATGGGCCTACACTTAGTTCAGCACTAATACTATTAGCTCCTAGGAGCAGTCAGACATTAGGCTGCCTAAGGAAGAGTGAACTGACCAGGAGAAGGAAATGGATTAGGTCAAAGCATCTATATGGATCAGTAGTGTGCTTGGGGTCTGTGAGCAGCTGGCTAGTACCTAGACTCTCAGCCTCAGTTCTCTCACCTATAAAATAGGGATAATACCTGTAGTCCATACTTCACAGAGTTGTTGTGAGGCTGAAATGAGACCATATGTGGAAAGAGATTTACAAAGTACAACTTAAATTTTAAAATACCACACAAATTTTAGTTACCATTATTATTATCATATCTAGAATTGGTAGGCCACCATAATGTAGGACAAAGCCATACCTAGAAAGACAAGACATAAAAGTGTTTGGAATTTACTTTTATCAAAGAGTTACGGAGAATCACAGAACATCAGAGTTTGAGGGGACTCTAAGTCTTCTACTTCAATCAATATCTGATTAAAAGTTATATCTTAGGACATGGAATTTTAACATATTTTGGTCATGGAGTCCTTTGGCAGTTTGGTGAAACAATGCAGAAAATACAAAATAAACCAATTATAGTTATCAATTAAAAAAAAACCCAAAAAAACAAGGTCACAGACCCCAAGTTGAGCATCTTTGTTTTATGATATACCCCAAAAAGCACTTTTTCAGCCTTCACTTTAAGACTTCCAGCGAGAGAGAATCCATGACTTCCCAAGGCAGCCCATTCCACTTTGTGATCATTCTAATCACTGGGAAGATTATGCTTTCTGCTACTATTTTAAAGGCTTCCTGTGCCATGTATTAACTGTCAAAATACAGTCTTGTGGCAGACTCAGTTTGCCTTATTTTATTTCCCAGTCATCTGATATTAACAATCATCTCTTATTCTAGAAACTTTTAACATCTCCACCTCTTTCAATACTTCTATCAAGCAAGTTATCAGGTCCTATTTAGTTTTTCTTCAAAATATTCTGTGCTATCTTTCTATTTTCATTGACATTCCTATAGCATAAAACCCTCTTGATTCACGTATGGATTTAAGGCGTTCCTTCCTTCTGTTTTTCTTCCTTTTTACAGAACATTGTTAAATTAATTCTCTAAAATACCATTTCCACCATGCTGCCTCCTTCCTTAAAAACCATCAGTGACTCTTCATTTCTCATGGGTAAACATCAAGTTCTTCAGCCTGGTGTACCATCTGGAGCCTTTCCAATATTTCTTCCACTGCTCCATAGCATGTACCCTCCACTTCCTGTAAGGCCACTGTCCTCACTCTTTCTCTCTAAAATGCCTAGTTTGGTCCTGTCACCATGCATTGAATATTTCCCCCTACTTGGGATGCCCTCCCACATCATTAAAGCCAAGCTGGAACCCTATTTATTCCATACAGCCTTTGCCATTCATTTGAGGTTCTTACAACTGTGATGATATCTTCAATGCCTCACTTTCCCTCACCTCCCGTATACATATTCAATCAGTTGCTAAATCTTATCATTTATAGTTCCACATCTCTTACATCTACTCACTTCTCATAAAGCCACCACCCTAGCTTAGGTCCTAATCACCCCTCACCTGAACTCTTTGTCTCAGGTCTTTTTTCCATTACAGTTCATGTTCCACACAGCTGATAAAGTTATTTTCCTAAAGCACATATCTGATCATATTCTTCCCCTATTCAATAAACTCCTGTGACTCCCTATTGAGTCTAGGATGAAATATTATTTCACCTTCATCTTTTGTTTTAATTTATATTATGTATAAGTTTTATAATATGCATAATTGTAAACAAGGACCAATTTAAATAAGTAAATATATACTTCTACTTCTTCTTCTTCTTCTTCTTCTTCTTCTTCTTCTTCTTCTTCTTCTTCTCCTCCTCCTCCCCTCTTCCTCCTCTTCCTCTTCCTTCTCCTCCTCCTCCTCCCCTCTTCTTCCTCCCCCTCTTCCTCCTCTTCCTCTTCCTCCTCCTCCTTCTCTTTACTGATATGATAGCAGAAGATTTTAGAACTTTAGAGACCACCAGTCTAAGGTACAGAAATGTTAACATAGACATGTCTATGGTCAGATTGATTGGGTCAGAACCTAGATTTTCCTAAAACCAAGGCTAGCCTTCTACTCCAGAGACTGAACTGCCTTATGCACATTCTAGACAATTATAAATGCTTTTGTATGAATATATTCATTAAAAAAATTAATGGGGAAAAAGATAGTTAAGTTAGGTCCCCAAAATAAGTGAAATATTTTAGAAACTTCAGGACAACCTTGCTACCTTATTCCCAACAAGATGTAGCTATCTTTAATTCATAAGCTAATTTTTAGCAAATGAGAACAAGAATCAACCTGCTGAAACCTTCAAGGAGTAGATGCCCGACTGAAACAACAGACTGGGTAGTTTGGTTAAAATGAGATTCACTAAATCTGAGACATTTGGGCTGCATAAAAAAACTCCCCAAACCAACATCTGTTTGATGTGAGATGTTTTTTTTGGGGGGGTGATGTTGAACTTGGGAAATGGGAATCATTTTTATGCTTCATTTTCTCCACAAGATAGTTCACATTTTAGCCCCTCATGAGTATAATGACTTCTGCAGGTGGCCAGACATCAGTAGCTATGAGTGCTCACCACAGAGGTATCTAAGCAGACCTGCCATTACTTCAGAATATATGCAGTACAACTGGAGCCAGAAATGAAAGTAATAGCTTCAAGATACCAAAAAAAAAGTCAGCTAGCAATTTTTATGCCTTATTCTCCAGACTGGCCTATACTTTCTCATGCTAATAAGGAAAGTATTTTCCATTTTGTTTTTCTGACTCATGCCAACAGGTATTTTATATGTGTGTATGTATATATACATATGAACACACACAGATGTATATAACACATATATATATGTAAATGTGTGTGTATGTGTATATATACATATTACATGATAATATATTTTATATATATGTATATATATTTTATACACACACACACACACACACACATACACACACACACACATAATGGCAGAGTGGCCATTTCAATCAATTCTGTTTAAGTTTCTAGGCCAGTAATAACATCTCACTGTAGGGATTTCTGTTGCTACCCAGAAAAAGCAATTTGTCAAATTTATCATTGATGCAAAAATGTTCTCACCAATTACTATTCAACCATATTGCTCAAGCATTTTAAAGATTCCAGTGATAAAAAACAAGATGAATCCAATATATAAAACATACATGGAAACATCTTATGTACAAAATATCAATCTTTCTTTGCCAAAAATTATTCTAATTAAAACCAACATTCATTATGAATTTACTCCAAAGCCATAATTAGTACTTTTTGTATGTTATATCACAGCATTTTTCTTCATGCCGATTTTTATGAATGCTTGAAGAATGAGTTTACATTGAACATCTGTCTCTAATGAAAAATATATTAGGTGTCAGCTTTCAATTCTATGTATTTTATAGCTTTAAAAGGTGGGATTTCTTTGCTAAAACAGACACCCTGACACATTTTGTAGTTGAAATGCACTGACTGAAATAAATGTTCAGAAGCTAAGAAAAAAATCAGTATTTATATATGTATATATATACATACATATATATATATATATATATATATATATTGATATATGTATATAGTATCTGCATTTATATCTACACATACACACATCAAGGGTGGTGCTGACGCTCATGGGGTAAAATCCTACACCATGTGAAAGATTTTCCCTACTGCCATTTTTTTGACTGGGGTAGGTGTGAGGGGGGTGACTAGACATGAAATCAGAGTTCTGGAGTACAGACCTCCAGCAGATACCAACATCTTTATTACCCAGGAGATGAATTGGTTGACTGATCAATTAATTAAAGCCATTATCTCCAACCTCCCCCCCCTCCAGTGATTGAAGGCTTTGGCCTTCTGATTATTCCTCAAGCCATCTTTAATAGCTTGTTGTTTACAAAACAGAAACAAAGACTGGGACAAATCTGATTCAGTGTTGTTGCTGGAAAATGCTCCCTAATTTGTCAGAGCACATAGATGGGAAATCAATGTGTCCCTGAATTCTATTTTTTAATTTTTTTAGATGAGGCAGCTAGGTGGTGCTTGCTAGCTATGTCATTTAACCTCTATCTGCCTCAGTTTCTCAACTGTAAAACGAAGATGATAATAGCACCTACCTCACAGGGCTGCAGTGAGGATCAAATGAAATAATATTTGTGAAGCATCTGGAACATAGTGGGCAATTAAGAAATATGTATTTCCTTTTTTTTAAATAGCTTTCCTGGC